GGTCATTCCAGAGAACATGGGAACAGCCGTGCTCCTTAAACATTCATGTCTGGTATCCTCAGTGGCAGTTTTTTTTGTTTTTTCGCATCGAACATCAAAAGGAGCTCAAGCGTGTCAGAGAAAACACACAGGAGGGTAGATCAGGGTTGCAATGATATACTAGTTTTTAAGTTATCATGATATAAAAGTTGATGGTTATCATACCGTGTACATTTGCTTATCTACGATAACTTGACAGAGAATCTTAGTTATTTCTAAAGGGGAGACTTTTTACACATATTTTCATTAACAAAAGGGTTCCAAGTTTCAGTTCTAGTGATAAAATGTTTGTTCAACCAACAATAACCCTTCAGTTTTCATCCCTTTAAGAGTCACTCTGATTGATAATGATATAAATTCTGTAATACCGTAATACCGCAGTATTTTCTGAGACGGTTATCGTACTTCTTAAAATCTCGTACCATTGCAACCCTATACATATACAGACAATATGAGAGGATAGGTAAGTGTATGAAACTTGATCCAGACCTCCAAAACTTACAGCAGCTAGGGAATGCAGCTTTTATTGATTGTAAAGAAAGCCCCAAAACCAAAAAAGAATTCCTGACCTTAATTTTCTGGCCTAAATGTCGAGACCTGTCTTCAGAAACGAGCATTTCTTCCTAAAGAGATTTTTTTACTTTAAATATCATACATAACATTGATTTGAAAGTGTCCTTTCTGTAATTCAAAACTACTTAAAATAAATCATTAAACTAATAGGATTTTACCCTTTTTAACCATCTTTACTGAGGCCTTTTAAAATGACAAACACTGGGACAACAAGACACTTCTTTCACAGAGAACACACAGTTTTGGTGGATGGGTGCATGTACACTCTTATGACACTAGGGGGAGCAGTTTACACACACTTGGACAAAGTCTCACAGGGCTGGTTGTAGGGAGTACCACAGTTATTAAAAACTTGAAGTAAGCATAGATTTGAATATGTTGGAGGTTTTTAAGTAAATTTGATTAGTACACTGAATTTGTTTATTTCTAGTTTATATGTGAGAGTGAGGAGAACGTGCAAGTACAGCAGGTCAAAGGCATCTTGTTTTTCTACTAGATACAATATGGAGCCAACAGCTCTAGTAAATGTGTTGGGACATTACATTAAGAAATACTACAGATTACTGGGGAGCTTTAAGAAAAAGGCTTACACTGAACAGTGCAAAAATGGTGATATTAAATAATAAGAATAAAAACTAGTATCTCATGTAGTACACAGTCTGTGGATATAACTGGATGATTATCTTTTAATGCCAAAAGATAAAGATGGACCATATCATATTATTTTACGCATTATTTTTTTTTCTGGAACAAACATAATTTATTTCAGTAAAACGTTTCAAAATTTGACTTAATGGCATAAACAGGTGTTTGAATAATTTGGATTTCAAATATGTTCAATGATGTTATCACGTATAAATATTGAGACAACCACTGATGTGTTCTGTGGCTAAACCCTAACATTCAAGTTCAGTATCACCACCAAGCACTGCAGATTGTACATGCATCTTACACTGGCCGATATAACATAAACAATGTCGGATATCAGAGTACACTTCCTGTATTTACTTACATGAAATTAATATTGCTACTGCTACTTTTCGTGTGTTGACAGAGCAGTGTTGGTTGGATATACTGTGTGACACTATTTCCAGATAAATCAGTTGATAGGTGGGTCAACTGTAACCACACCATCCTGTATTCCACTGCTAATTATGACATTAGATCAATAAATTATTACTCCATTGATCCAGCTATCAGTTACAAGACTGTTTTGAATTTAATTCCTGCTCTTGCCATCCCTAAACAAAGTGAGTCCTTTAGTGTAATCGCATAGTAGCGTTAGTGTCATGCAGATGTAAGTGTCCAGTCTGTGTGCACTTAGTATAAACCATATCATTAAAATTCAAGCGAACATACAGACTGGTGACAAATTAAAGGAAAAACCAGATTAACTAAGTACAGGAGCTCACTGAATGGTTCCATGAGTCACCACATCTTTACCCAACTACACAACCACAGGAGATTTTGGACCAACGAGTTAAACTGCGCTCTCCACCACCATCACCATCACCATCTAAACAACAAATAAGGAAACATCTTTAAAAGAAGGCTGCTCATCCCTCCAGTACAGATATCAACAGATTTGAATCTATGCCAAGGAGGACTGAAGCTGATCTGGAGTCTGCTGGCGGACCAGTATCTTACTTTATCGATATCTAACATTCTATACAACATATCAGACTTGGTCGTCCCTGGTGTTAACACGGTGCAGCAACCTTTGTCAAGACAGAGGTATTAAATGTCCGGCGTTTGGAAATATTAGAAGATAGTGACTAAAAAATTACAAATAACTAAACTATAAATTAGAGCTAAAATTAGTGTTACTTGTTTGTTTTTTGTTTTTGTAGAAATCTATTTGATGTCCCATCCATAGGTGGATCATGAGACAATGGGCCCCTGGGCAAAGATACACAAAAGGCCCCACCACCTTGGAGTGGAGCAAGACACAGACTTTGTGGTGGTTTACCTTTTTCGTTGTAGTTGTTTTTAGATCAGATTTCTTTGTCAGTGTACAAACATACAATGAAATTTAGGTGCACTCAAGGACCGGGCTCATATATAAAAATAAATAATAATAAATTGGTAATAAAAATAAATAAATAAATGCCTCCATTCCACTCACATCCTACACAACTGTAGCTACACTTCATACACTCGCTAAAATGGGATATGCGTATCTTTGTAGATGATACGCATCATTTTGTGGTTTTGTGTGCCTCTGAAGTCGCTTTGCGTCTCTTCCTGGTCAGTGCATGTTAAATTGAGTGTCGCTATGCAGATGAAGGCAAGGGGGAGCCCCTGACACTTTGGGCCCCTGGGCTTGTGCCCAGCAGGCCTGTTCAGTCATCCCTCCATAATCCCTTCGTTACAGCAGCAACTGAAATATTTAAATGACTACACTCTGTTTTGTTTTTTTTAACTTCAGTTAGATGTCATAAGTTATCAGTCTGTGCTTCACTTTGCTCCAAATAATAATAATAATAATTCAGACACTGTAAGAAAGATTGCAACACCTTTACTCGCTTCTAAGTCAGAGGTGTCACACATACGACCAGGGGGCCAGAACTGGCCCACCAAAGGGTCCGATCCGGCCCTCTACATGATTTTGCACACTTAATGTTGATGCTGAGAGGTTTCAGGTTCCTTAGAGGCTTCTCCACTCTGACCAGAATACAGCTGTCTGAAATAACAATGAATACTTTCAATGGTCATATTTAAAGATATTAAACATTGTGTAAAATGTTCTCAACCAGCAGCTTCAGTGCAAAAGAATCTGCATCAGACTTCTATCTGAAAACTATATAAGTGGAACCCTGCTGGGGATGACTTAACCTGCTTCATCAATAGCTTCTACTTTATGAAAAAATGCACATGTAATGACAGTGAGTAGCAGACTGACTGAATGTAAAAGACATACTGTTGAATTTGCACATATTTTTCTTTCTTCTTCATTTGGTAAATGGGTGAATGTGTTCAGAATGAAAGAAAATTTTGCAGAGGTTGATATTTATAGGTTATTATGCAGTGGTTTTACTGGTCTGGCCCACTTGAGATCAAATTGAGCTGCATGTGACACCCTTGTTCTTAGTCACCCTTCACAAAAGATGTTCAAATATGTGTGGCACTCATGAAAGGCGGTTGCCAACTGGTTGTGCTTTTATTTTTGGAAATTACAGAGATACGTGATAAATAAAACATGCACTCTTTGTATTTATTTCCTCAGATGGACCAGCCTGCTACTGCTGCTGTCAGCCCGCCCTATAGCTCTTCTTAACAGTAGTGGAGTCTTTACAGGGGTTCCCCATTCACAAAGCCTGCCTGACTTTACAGAGGGCGGAGAGAGAGAGGGAGAGAGAGGAAGAGCGAGGAAGAGGAAGAGAGAGAGGGAGAGAGAGAGAGTTGAGACATCCCAGCCTCACTTGGCTGCATTCGGTTTACCGACACCGGAGAAGCGACCATGCTGTGGAAACTAGTTGAGAATGTCAAGTATGAAGATATTTATGAGGTAACGTTACCGTCCGTCTGTTTGTGGTCGTGAGGAGTTAGAAGAGGAGCTGTGTGGGGATAATGAAGTGTTGAGATAAGTGCGGTGTTTGCAGGAAGCTGTAGGCCTGATATTTTACTGATGTGGAGACTGTGGAGGATGTTTCACTACATTTGGCACATTTGCGCTCAAATGTTTTGAAGTGTTTATAATATTTTATGTGTGTGGCTATGTTGCTTTTTGGAATATGGGGTAAAACGGAAAAAATATGTGACACTGGATAAATATAATTTGTATTTTACTTGTTCTTTAATTATCAGATGTGGGATTTATTTCAAATACAGCGCTTTTTGCGCAAATTCACGTTTAAAAATCAAGCTAAAACATATTAAAAAAAATAATAATTCCACCTCTGATATATCTCTAAATAGATTTTAGAAATAGACAAGTGATGCAGCAAAAATTACAAATTAATGCCTTATATTTTAAACTATAGCAAAAGAGAAATAACGGAGAGACGCAGGGTCAGCGGGGCGGTGATGTGTCAGAAGTATGTAAATCATTTGGCTTTGGTCCCAGAACAACAATTTTTTAAAAACGAGCGAGGGGAAGGGGAGAAATACCGCCGCGCATGGGGGCGAAACCGCTGCTCCGGCTCGCGCTGAATGGGCTCGAGCACAAAGCACCACGAAGGGGAGAAAAGGGCAGCTCGCGAGGCCCCTCGGCTCAGCCCGGTGGGAAACCCTTGTCTCGTGCCGCACATGGCTTTTCTCCCACGGCGCGAGGGAGGGGAGAGGCTATAATGTTGTTAAACAAGTCATCCAGGAGGGCGAAGAAGGGGCCGGCGGAGTCTACAATGTAAAGTTTAATCGCTTCTTTTGACTCGTGACACCGTTCACACGAGCCCCTAGTGCGCCCCTGTAGTGTCTCGGGTGGTTTTTTTTTCAGTGGGTTAATAAAAGGCAGCTGCAGCACTACATGAGACGTGCTTTATTTTGCAGGAGTGTTGTGTTGGCAGGCTGGAGTTTGGGTTAAACGGAATAAGACGGTTTCACCTTTGCGCAGGTGTTTATTGTCTGTGCGTAAAAGTGGTTTTTCTTTGGTGTGACCATTTTCTACATGGTCTTGTGCTGGCACGAGGCTGAGTTTTATCCGGTATGAGCAGAGGCATTGATCCTGGTGATATTAGTGTCATGGTTGACTAGGTGAGCTTTACAACAACCCCTGTTTATACTGTTATCCACCAATTTGGCTTGGAGTGTTTGCGCAGAAACGGTGTGTGCAAAAGTGTCTCCAATGGCAACAAAGTGTTTTCCCTGCGTCAGATTTTGCCTATAAAAGCACCCCCCAAAGTGCGTATTTTTGGTGATGGGGGAATTCCTCACGGGTCTGTCTGGTCACCCTGTTTCGCTTTCTCCTGCGAGAGAGACTCCTCTTTCTATCTCCTGCTGTTCGCGCGTTTCGGCTCTCCACGGAATTTAAACGTCACTCACGGTTGCGCGAGAGGCTTCACGCTCCATGTGTCGCCAGTCCCCTGCCTCGCGCACATTAATATTCCTGTAAGTCTCAGTCATGAATAACAATTACACCGTATACCGGGGGTAGAGGCGGGCGCTCGGTGCTCACACTCAGAGCGGCGGCAGCTCCGGGCGGAGGAAGGTTCTGCGTGGAGCTGTAGACCAGGCCGTGCCTGCAGATATACACACACGCGCTGCTTCTACCTGGAATGAGTTTGGCCATCTTGGCCCGACACTATCTCTGCTATCCTGCTGTTTTACCGTAAGCCCGCTCGTGACACCAGCAGAGGCTTTACAAATGTTAGTTCACTCCTACTCCACTGCGGTGAGTTTCCTTCACTCAGAATCTATTTCAGAATTGCGCAAACGGTGCATGTGTAGACACTGCTGGGAGGTTTTCGCTGTGAGAGGTTTTAAATTAGGCTATAACATTTTTCCTTCAGGCTCTTTTCTTTTTCAGGAGATTCAATGGCAGTGTGGGCTACTTTGGCTACATCACCAGGGGCAATATAGTCTCATAAATGCATCACAGTCCGAGGCCTCCATGTGGTTTTATTTCAGTATAATGTGCTTCCATTTCTGCATGGACTTGATTTCTCTGTTCTTCTCTGCACCCTCTTGAAGGACCGGCATGACGGTGTCTCGAGCCACAGCTCGCGCCTGTCCCAGCTGGGCTCGGTATCGCACGCGGGACCCTACTCCAGCGCGCCGCCGCTGTCTCACGCGCCATCGTCGGACTTCCAGCCGCCGTACTTTCCGCCGCCGTACCAGCCGCTCGCTCACTACCAGAGCCAGGACCCGTACTCCCACGTCAGCGACCCGTACTCTCTGAACTCCCTGCACCAGAGCCAGCAGAGCGCATGGGGGGCGCGGCAGCGGCAGGACGCCACCGGGGAGCGGATGGATAGCTCGGCTCTGTTGGCGCAGCCTCGGGCCTCGCTGCCTCAGCTGCCCGGGCTGGACCCGCGGAGGGACTACGGTGTGCGGCGGCCTGATGTGCTGCTGCACTCCGCTCACCCGGGACTGGAGCCCGGGATGGGAGACGGACTGCTGCACGGGCTGCACGGTATGGAGGATGTTCAGGTGAGTCAGAGATCACAGCTGAGACTTACAGGGGTGAAAGTAAATATATTTTTCCAGTTCCAATTATGATTATATTTTTAGTTTAATTTTTGAAAAGATATTTTTGAAGATATTACTATAAGCAAGGAAAGGTACACTGCAAGTCAGGGGCCACATATGCCACTGCAAATATAATATAATTTATTGTATATCATTGTAAAAGCATATACAAAATGTGTGCACTGTAATTATGAATTTAACTTTTCTAATTTACAGTAATGGCAGTTTATATTTAACTAAAACAAACCTACTGCAGGTATACAAACTCTGCATGAAAAATCCCCTAGTTTGGATGTCATTAAACATCACATCTAAATTAAATTAAAGAAAATTAAAAGATATTGTAATGGAAGAAACGGATCTGTAATCGTTGACAGTTGTCTTCTTCATTGTCTCCGCGCCTTTAGAGTTAAGGTCAGTGAACTCAGAGCAGCTCCCTCAGGGCTGGACTCTCACAGCAGCTGTAGCCTAAACGCAAATGGCCCACAGCTAAACAAAGCATCTTCAGAGAGCTGAGACATCTCCTTTGATGAGAAGATGCTGATATGTGGAATAATTCACAAACTGCTGCATGGAGCTCAGATGCTGCTTCTTCACTGACATAACGATGAATATATATTTAAAGCAGAAAAGTCTAAAGATACTGCAATATTTTTTATTAACTTCAATATGTAGAAAATAGATTTTTGTTTTTTACCTTTATAATTTTGTGTGAAAATTTTATTTATTTGAATTATATATTATTATTAGTATTATTATTATTACGCATATTATTGTTGTCATTGAATTCACAGAATTTGAAGGCTGTCATTTTGTTTTATGGGATAATATAGATTTTTTTTTCTTGCTGTTCCTCCCAAGCTGCAGAATATACAAAGCCAGCTGTAGACTTTATAGTGAGCTGTGTATGATTCCATCTTCCCCTCGTTTCCCCTCTGGGCACAACCATCACGAATTGTTTGCCATTTAACCTCCACATTACATTCTCATTTCTGGCTTTGCGTATTTGTGTCATGCATTTATTAACCCCCATTTAAATTTGTTTTAACAAGTTTTTTTTTTCTTCTTTTGTATACGAGCGTGCAGAAATGACGACAGCAGCAGGTCTATTCAAAGAGGAATTTATCTCGCAGGGTGATGAATGAGACTGATGAATGAGGCTTTAAATTTGGGAGAGCAGCTTCGTCTATATGAGTCATGTCATGATGATTTTTTTTTAAATGAGAGAGAGAATGGATTATTAATCGGATTTGTTTGTTTTATTCTTTTGGACACCTGAAATGAATCCAGGAGGATTTTGTGGGAACTAAAAATAACTTTCACATGCTCGTTAAGTGGGTTAGGGCAGCATGGATCTCCTTTTATAAAGCAGACTATAATGATTTGTATTTATCTTGGCTCTAACAGACTATTGAGGACACCAACGGCACCAACATCCTGGATCAATCAGTAATTAAGAAAGGTATCACACACAAACACACACACACACACACACACACACACACACACACACACTACAAATGCAACAATATGACAAAATTGACCAGATGTAGTACAAATATCAAATAATTTGGCTTTTATTTGTGCGTTATATGCTGATATTGCGCACAGCTGCCAGCTCATCTTGGGCTCTCTTTCCTCCCTGTTTCGTTATATAATTTTATATAATTCTATATCCTATATGTGCTATGCATTGTGATGATTTATGGTGTGTACAACTACAGTTTCTCCCATGAAAACAGCAAATCTGGGCACCACTTGGATTTAATCAGGACCAGACGCGCCACAACTCCATCTTTTATAAAGGTTCCTAGTACCTGAACGCACCACCTCTTGTGTTTTTTGGGTGCCCAGGCTAAGGAGTTGGAAGCCAGGTTAAAGGATCCCGGTATATTGACTCGCTGGCAGTGTGTCGCTGACAGGCTGCCATGCTGCCGCCCTGATGATGTGCGGTGATTTAGTTACGGGATGTTGAGTGACTGAGCTCCCCGCGGGGCATTTAAGCCGCTGATGTAATAAATGGCACCGCTCACGGAGATCTCGTGAGCTCGTTTAGAGCTAATCTGCGGTATTATCCCCCGTGGAGCCATCAAAACCCCCTCGCACTGGCCCCTACGCATGCATGCACGAGCTGGCTGCTTCTTTCTTTTTCCTTTTTTTTTTTTTTTACGCCATTAGCGCGCGCATTAACGCGCGGGATGAAGGAGCATCCAGTGCTGCTGGTGCTGGTGGGAGTTAAACCGGCCGTGGAGGAAAGACAGGGAGGTGGTTAATGCGATTTGAGAGCGCGAGCCAATCAACAATCGATAATATTGTAATGAGAATGTCGCGCGACATTAAATAACAGCAAATGCCCAGCGCGTGGGCGCTTCATTAGACCAGGGCCGCCCTCTGAGCGCGCAAAGTTTGACAGGAGAGAAAGATTTCTAACTTGACTCAGTCCCCTTGTTGTTATGTAAGAGCAGCACTCACACCGCCTCTAACCTTCCCTCTTCCAGTCCCCATGCCACCCAAGAACATGGGCTCCCTGATGCTCGGCAAGGACGGCCTCATCGGTGGAGTCACCGTCAATATCAACGAGGTGTTCTGCTCGGTACCGGGCCGCCTGTCGCTGCTCAGCTCCACCTCCAAGTACAAAGTGACCGTAGGGGAGGTGCAGAGGAGACTGTCCCCGCCCGAGTGCCTCAACGCCTCCTTGTTGGGGGGCGTGTTGAGAAGGTACGACTGCAGCCTGAGAGCATGTTGACGCAGGGACAACTGTGTGGATGGAGAAAAGCTTGTGGCTCGTTAAATATGCAGGGGATCTATTAATTAAAGCCTGCGCTGTAGAAAAAGGCCTCTGCATGTCTGTGCCATTTAGCTCATAGATATTACTTAACATTAACTAAACCTCCGGAGACGCACTGGAGCACAAGCTGATGACTATAAAGTTTCCAAACTTTAAAGCGAATATTGGTCATTCGTTAATAAAATGCTATGTGGGAGGATTTTTTTACTACTATAAAACATTTCTCAATAAATGTGCCCTGCTTTAAATATGCAATTTACACGAACTCGTTTCTTTTCTGCAGAGCAAAGTCCAAAAACGGTGGGAAGTGTCTGAGAGAAAAGCTGGAGAAGATTGGACTCAATTTACCTGCTGGAAGACGCAAAGCTGCCAACGTCACATTACTAACATCTCTTGTAGAAGGTGATTCAGTTACCGTTTTAAACTCCTTAAATACAGGAACTACAGGGGGAATTGTGCACTCCAAAAACGCATAAAAACCAAACATTTTATTTAGACTTTAAACTCCTCATTGCAACGATCTGACAAAGCATTCATGGTCAAAATATGGGTCTGCAAAGGTCATGACCTTACACACTCCACACATGAAAATGACCCTGTTTTCATAAAATGGTGTAGTGCAATACCACAAAAATAAATATTCAATACTGAACAACTGAGGAGGACTGGTGTTACCAAATCAGATTAATTAATTATTTATTTAATTAAAGGCTGCAGTTTGGGCCTAACCGGTTTTACACCTGCATTTGGCCAGGTTATATGGGCCTATATTTTGCATATAGCTCATGTTTCTCATAATATTCCCTATACATCTGGTCATTCCAATTAAGGAAACAATGTCCTGCAACTAGATAATACATAAAGACAATATTTTTTCTACTTATTCTTTTGAATATTTTTGTTAAACTCAATATTTGCCATTTTAGACAACCTTATATATTTTTTACTGCCTGACTGACAGTTACTTACACTATATTTACACGTCTAAATTGAAATTTTGTTATCATTCTTGCCTACAAAAAGCATAATAAAATAATTATGAATAAATTTTCACGATAAAACTTCTACGTTGTTTATGTTTTTGCGTCATCCGAGAGGACGATAGTGGAGAGAAATCGGTGCGTAAAAGCATCACGTGTGCCCAGGAATAATGTGGTCGCAGCATATTAATTAACATTAACATATACAATCTTAAATAAAAAAGTAAGTGGGGAGGCTCTTACACGTCTTAAAAAATCTGCACTGGAAGCTGTAGAACTGAAATTCTCCACCACTGAGTCAAACCTGCATTCATCCTCTACAGCTTGTTTTTTCTCCACATTATATTTCCATCCACTCCAACCGCACCTTTACCTCTTTCCAGGTGAAGCGGTCCACCTGGCCCGGGATTTCGGTTACATCTGCGAGACGGAGTTCCCCACCAAAGCCGTGAGCGAGTACCTCAACCGGCAGCACGCGGACCCCAACGAGCTGCACACGCGGAAAAACATGCTGCTGGCGACAAAGTGAGTTTGATGGAGCGTTTGATTAGATTCTGCTCCCTTATAGCCTTTATAGGGTGTTGTCTGTCATAGGATATGTAATGCATGTCTGCAGTGTGGCATGTAGAGAGATGCCGGCTGGTGATGGCATTATACTCTAGTGTTAGTTTCATTATTTAAATGATCAATTTAGCTATTTAAACACATCCAACGAGGTCAGGGCCCTGATACATACATAATACTTTATGTCTTTATGTATAAGCAAAGTGGTTGGAAATACTCAAGCAGCCATACAGTTATGCATAGGTGTACATTTAAAGGGAGAGACATACCTTTGCATTTGTCCCCCTGCAACAAAAACATAAGGTAACAGAGGACTTATATTTTGACAATATATAAGACATTCAAGCTATCAGTTGATGCAGATCATGCGCAAAATGAAGAATACAAATTCACCAGGATACAGAAAATTAAGTGTTTGATGCTCAAAATTTTCTAGCAAATGACCCCCAAATTTCATCCATTTCATATGTGTCCTCCTCAACGTTGAAACAAAACCTATACGGCCTTGCATTTAAGGCTCAGAATCTCCTCATTTTACAAGCTCTGCTGTTCCAGGGTGCCATTTGGAAACATTTTCTTTGCTGTTGATTTTAATTATGTAATTGTCCCACATACAGGCTGAAAAACAGGTTCTTCTTCTGCAAGTAGTTCCATTTCTGATGAATGAAATTAATGTGAAAATAAGCTCTCTCTCTCTCATTTTCCTGGGGCCTCTGTGGCCCCTCTTTAAGGCCCCCCGAGGGTGTAAACCTCTTCTGTATCCTCTGTGTTTTACGTCACACTAAGTCCATCTTGCCACAGTGAGCATGGCACTGACATTTTAAAAACTGGAGTGAGATCTTCTTAGTGAAACACATTAAATTCAATATGGATCTAACCTGGAATAAAAAAGCTAATTGACACTGAACAATTAGAGCAGCTACATTAAATTTAGCTGTTTAAGAAATGAGCTGAAATCTATATAAAGTCAAGAACCTTACAAACAAAAGTAGCACCACCTGAATAACTTTATATTTAATGCTGGACACTTTCAGTTGGCCTGCACAGCTCACACACATTATTAAATACGAACTCTGAGGTTGCCAGTGTGTGTTTGACCTCTGCTTCTGGTCTTAGAGGCGATCCGTTTTACTGGTTCTCCTCATAAAGTTATTTATATGAATCGATTTTTATGGCCGTTAAAGTGTGGAATTGAACCCAGGATCTTGTGATTACCTTCAGCAAGCGAGCGACAAAGATTTCTTTAAGGGAAGCAGGGTAGGAGAGTAATGTGGATTTTTAAATGTGGATTCAATCACAGAATTACTTTGCATTTTTTTCCTATTTTTACAATGACTAAGAAAGAAAAACGCCCGCTGCCAATTAATGAGCAGTCCCTCTCTGTGTCCATTTATTCCCCTGAATGAGTTTTGTAGATGAAAAGGTTCCAAGCAAAGCTGTAAAGCATCTCACAAAGATCCCTTCAGGAGGCTTGTATTTTTAGCTTGCATAAATAGTCTGCTGGTCTGCACTGCATAAACCATTTGCCTGTGTGTGTGTGTGTGTGTGTGTGTGTGTGTGTGCATCCCAATGTACTCGGTATGTACGGTGTGTTCGGTGGTGGATGTTTGATGCTCAGATTCAAACCTGTTCCAATACTGTGTGTCGGTGCTGCCTGTTAGAAATTCATTATTTAGCAGTGAAGTGTTTCAAGTCGTCAGAAAACAACAGCGAAAGCCTTGAGTGTAGCCCGGGGTGGCGGCTTCTCCTCTCTACTCCCCTAACCCCAGCTGGGCTCGGCCTGCACAGCCTGTCACTCATTTGCTGGAGCTCTGCCCTTAGGCCGCTTACAGGATGTGTGTGTGTGTGTGTGTGTGTGTGTGTGTGTGTGCGTGTGTGTGTGTGCATGGGGCATGCAAGTACAAATTTGAGAGAAAGAGAGAGAGAGGTCCTGAATATAAAATGTGGGCCTAAAACCAGAGGATGATTTGCTGAAATTTAACAAGCAGAACGAGGTGAAGACGTGATTTTCTTTTACTGCTGCGTTTTTTGCTTGAAATCTAAAGTGAAGAACGAAGGTCCATTTCATGACCTCTTGTCTTAAATTACATATATTAACAGTGAAAGATTGGCTCTTAATGTGGAGGCGTCAAACACACAACTTTCTTGCTCTGTGCATTTATTACACTCCATTTTGGAGACATCAGGTGTTAGTGTTTTGCACAGTGTTCAAATATGTGCTGTTGACATTAGCCTTGTATTTATGGGTGCATTTTTGCTGTGAAAGTATTGTGGTAACTTATTTTTCCATTCTTAAGGATAATTTAACAAACACATATGGTATGACACAGAGATGGGACAAAATAATTCTTTTGCAAGTCACAAAAAAGTCTAAGGTCTTTGTGCTCAAGCCCCAAGGCCGAAACTTTGAGTTTCAAGTCCTGCACGAGTCACAATGTGCTCTTAACCAATATAACTCCATTTATGTGCATAGTAATAATAAATTACATTTACAAAAATAATGAATGCTTTTAAAATCTGTACTTAGTTGTTAAAAAGAAAGTTTATTGAAAGTTCTCTGTAAATTTGGACCTGCATGTTTTGCACACCACTATTAATTTTTTGTTGAGCACTGCATAGTTTTTGTACACAGACAAAATCATCTTTGGTATTATTTATTCCAGTTGGCGTTCAATTAAGTAACATTGGTCCTTCATGGTTCTGTCCTGCAACTCAACTGGATTCTGTTGGATTCAAACAAAGTGGATCATCTGGGGAATTTAGTGTAATTGATTATGCCAACTTCCTGGGAACAAATAGCTTTCAGTGTTAGTAAATTTGGGATATAAAGGGAAATGAATTGATTCTGAGGTGAATTTTTTAGAGATTTTACTTTAATTTTGGGGCATAGGTGAAAGTGTTAAGTATTTTCAAGTCAAAAGGCTCAAGTCCAAATTAAGTCACAAGTCAGTGCTGTTAAATTCCAAGTGGAATTGCAAATCTTTTTTGATTTTGTCATGTCCAAGTCATGTGACTCGAGTCCACACCTCTGGTATGACGTCATAATGATTATGTGTTTATAGTTGAGGTGTTCAGTGGAGTCAGTAAAAGAAATGGATTTGTTGTAGCATTAAAGCAAAGGAAAAACAAAAAAAGAGTTGTAAACTTCTTCACAGATTCAGTATGTCAGAATGCAACTGAGCCAGAAGAAATTTTTTAGTGAATTAAATACTCTCATTACACTGAAAACTCTCTCAGCACTGCCACTCTGTTCAGGTTAAGATGTACTGTAGCAGTTGACTGCATCCAGTTAATGTTTTTAATTTCTCTGACTGATTTCCAAAAGCATTTTAAAAATCATAAAATTAAACAGGTAAATGAAGAAAAGCTGAAAGAAAGCATTGTTGCACAATTAGGCTTTGGATACACTGAACATTCCTTAAAGAGGTTAAAAATGGAAGTATCAGGGGGACAATTTTTCTTTGGAACTGACTGTCATACAAGCTGATAAAGGGAAGATAGGGTTAAAAAAACATCACAGTTCTCTTGTAAATATCTTGATTTGGCACACAACATTCAGAGAGTTTTAGGGCTTGTCCTAGCAGAGGGTGGGCAGTACGCACCATGTGGTGAATTGTGCCAATGAAACCTAAAACCTCATTTAGCTATGATTAAACAGCACTGATGCACCAAGCTTTTGCTAGTTTCCTCTCCCAGTGAATAGGTGGGTGGAGTCATGCTGTCTTCAGGAGCTGCTGAACTATCTGAGAGAATCTTTATCAGTCTGGGTTTCAGTGATGATCCAAGTGGTGTTTTACAGTCATTCCCACCCAAACAAGAATACTGCTGAGGGTGAATCACTGCTTTCGCTTTTTTTAAAATCCATTAAATAACATTATTTTACAGGTGCCTTGCTGTCAAAAAGCACAGCACAGTTGGTAGCTCAAACAACATAATTTATTATCCTAACATACTGCTCTGTTACATTATTGACACCACAGTTGTTTTTTTAATCTGTCCTGTTGCGCTGCTTTTCCACAGGACATGGAAATTAAAAAAAAATACAGCCCAGTTGCCAGAACAAAAAATTGGCATTGTACGTTTCTGCAAACCATGGATTGTACATTTCATACATATCAACATTTAAATCTACATCTAAAGTGATGTAATTCACATTACACATATATGAGCTGAGTTTCTCATCATTAAGAGGAGGTGGGGATGGCAGATGGCATGACACCTAGGTAAGATGGTTGCCACATAGCACACAGCAGCAGACTAATGATCAAGACCAACAAGAGTGGGTATTTTCACAATATCTCAGGACATTTCCAGCCGTGATCGTGAGGACAAAACTGGGTATTTTTTAACAACATGTCAGGACATTTTCAGCTGCGTTTGTGGCAACAAAGTTGTTTTTATAACGACACGTCGGGACATTACGAGCCTTGCTTGTGGTCACAAGACCGGGTATTTTTAAACATGTCAGGACATTTACAGCTACATTTGTGGTGATAAAACCGGGTATTTTTTTTATCAACATATCAGGACATTTCAAGCCATGTTTGTGACGATAAAACCAGGTAGTTTTTATCAACGTTGTTGTTAGGACATGACCAACCATTTCTGTGGTGACAAAAGCGGGTATTTTTTAACAGCATGCCAGGACCTTTTCAGCGCATCATGGTGACAAAACCGGGTATTCCCCAGCCATGTTGGGGTAACAAACTTGGTATTTTTGTAACAACTTGTTAAGAAATTTCCAGCCATGTTTGTGATGACAAAACCAGTTATTTTAAGCCAAAACATGATCTTACCCTCATCCTTGCCAAGTGTTTTTTTTGTCTTTTAACCTAACATGTTAACCACTGACGACATAAAATTGAATTAGTTTCAACATATCGGTTACATATGAAATAAACAAAATGTAACATATGATCCATACACCAGTAACATATGCATGGTTTGCAGAAACAGTGCCAACATTTATTCTGGCACCTGGGTTGAAAAATAACAGATGCACTGAAATGCAGCTAAAACAGAATGTGCTCCTTTTTCCTCAGTGCAGTTAGAGTTGTGAAATTATAACATGTTTTCCTGCTTTGTCAGCCTTTTTTCTTTTTTTTAATTAATAGGTTATATTCAGTTCCAGGTAGTATTGCAGGAATATCTGCAGCTAATGCTGAAAAATACCCTCACTATCATCCCTTGAGACTGTTTCACCACAGAGGCATCTCAATAAGATGGTGGTGGTTGATTTGGTTGCATCCCCTGAGTTTTAAAGATAGGCAGCAGTTGCACATACAGTACTTTATACTGTTTTGCTGACAGGGTCAGTATCGTGCTAATTGAATACCAAGCACTTACTGTGCTTCAAAATTCTGCAGTTTGATTATTTACATATTGACTGCGGGCACCTTAATGAGATGTTTTGATCAGGTTACACACAGGTTTGCATGATTTTGTTGGATTGGCAGGTGCAGCAGAGGTGGCAGAAACAAAATCTGGTTTTCAGAAAGTTCAAACTTGTACACAAAATTCTGTCAGCCCTTCCACTACTAACATTTAAATGGAAACAATGACATTTGTCCTGCTTGGAAAACACTAAAATTACAAACACTGGAACTGTATAAACATTAAGAAAAGCGGAAGAAGAGGAGTACCTTTTATCAGCCTGTATGACATAATCTATCTCAAATAAATTAACTATTTTAGGGAAACCCTACGATGAGTCAGAGTTCCCTCCTGACGTTGTGTCTTCTCCCCTGCAGACAGCTGTGTAAGGAGTTCACAGACCTGCTGGCCCAGGATAGGACTCCCCTGGGCAACTCAAGGCCCAGCCCCATCCTGGAACCCGGCATCCAGAGCTGCCTCTCCCACTTCTCCTTCATCACGCACGGCTTCGGTTCGCCCGCCATCTGCGCCGCGCTCACCACCCTCCAGAACTACCTCACCGAGGCTCTCAAAGGACTCGACAAGATGTTTCTCAACAACCCTCCCAACAACCGGCACGGGGACGGCGGCAACAAGGCCGACAAAGAGGAGAAGCAGCGGAAATGAAGCAGGAGGGGAGGCAATGAAGGAGAGCCAAAAGGGAGGCAGACACACAGACAGAGGCGTTACACCGTTACTTCTAGCTTTACACCACTGCCACTGACCTGCCACACACAGGGCCGAGGTGGAGGAGGAGGAGGAAGAGGAGGAAGGCTTGATAGAGAGAAAAAAAGGCAGAGTAAGACACCTGTGGGCCAGTGTCAGAGAGCACAGAGGGATGTTTCATCTGTGTTACGTTCTTTTCATTCCCCTGAGGACATGATGGTTACTGTGTTACATCCATTTCGCTCCCCCTGCCTGCATCCCGTAAGACTGAGATGCTGTGAGCAGCCAACAAACAACATTGTGTGTGTGTGTGTGTGTGTGTGTGTGTCTGAGCGAGTGTGTGTGCGCGCTTGTGTTTGTCCTCACACAGAAAAAGCATTGTGGGTATGAAGATTGGGTGATGAGCATTCTATCTGTGAAACAGGTTTGTCTGGTGACTTAACACAAGTACGAGGAGGGAGGGAGGGAGTTAATTTATGTGTGTAAATATTTATTTATATTAATTTAAATGGATGGTTGTGTAAATAGGTGCACCAGCTACTTTGGAGTAGGCCTATTTATCTGTGATTCGACCTTTGTGAGCCGGCGGGGGGAGGCAGGACTCATCCAGTGTTTTTCTGTTCTTATAGAGCTGTTGTCATGGTGCTGATGATGGGTAGACATGCTTCTAATTGTCCAGTGATTTCATTTCTATCACATTGATAATAAACCATGTGTTTTATTATGCGAGGTGTGCAGCCTGCGCCTTTTCTCCACGAGACTGGGGGTCTGTCTCTTTTAGTTTAATCCATTCAGGATGTGAAACATGGTAATATTCATTAATTTATTTACCTTATTTCATTTAATATTAATGAACACCTTTAAGCAAAAGTGTGTACATCTGGGGGATTAAAAAGAAAATGCAACTTTCTGAATGACTGAAATTGCAGTTGGATGCCAACACTAATAGTTTTAATTACTGTTATATACAGCCTAATGGTTCACATTCACAGGCCGGGCATCTTTGCCAGTCTTTCTGATTTAAATGAAATGTGAGTTTATGTTTTAACAACTGTTGTCTGTTCACCACATAATAAATGTCATACTGGTTTAGGCAAAAAAATAAAATAAAAATAAAAAACTCATTAAAATTTAATTAATGAGCCAACAATCGCACTGAAGAAAACCATTAAATTTAATTTTTCTTTTCATTTTAACCAATTGTTTATTGCAGAGGACAGTAAATTTTCAATCATTAGGAGGAACAATTAAAAAAAAAACAGAATTAATATTTCAGATATTTATTTTAAAATAAATTCAACCCTGCCATCATTTACGCTTATATAATCTTTGATTACAGTGTAAATAAAAAAGTAACCCCACCACTGAAACGGCTAAAAAAAAAAAAAAAAAAAAAAATTAGAGTCACACTCTCACTGTTTCAGGGGACAACATATGAACATAAAATTATTAATATTAATTAATTAATATTAATGTTTTCTTTCTATTAAGGCTTGTGTACTTTCAAATATGTGAAAACAAGAGTGCATTCATGTAGGGATGACCAATAGGTTTGTTCAATGTTTTAAGCTTTTAGTTATACTGTATACTCTAACATGTTATGGGGTCAAAAATGTGCTAAATGGTCCTTTAAATTATGGATTTATATTTTGTTATTGCGGATATGGACATTAAGGGTAAAATTAAATTGCTACTTATGGCATGTGTGGTCCAAGATTAAAATTTATAAATGATAGTAACAAAAGCAACAACAATAATAATGTTTTAATAGCTTTGTGAGGTTTAAAATATCAGTGGTCTAGAGTCTGGCTATATATTGCAAAGCCTCTGAAATGAATACACACACACACACACACACACACACACACACACACACACACACACCATGATGGATACTGCCTTATTCCAGGGAGATAATTGGCTGTATTTTCCGGCCAGTGAGGCCCTCGTTTCAGAGAGGCTTCTCTCTCCCTCGCACGCGCGCAGGGGGAATAGAATCGTGCCTCGCGGGCCCGCTTCTGCGGTGGGGATCTACCGCCGGTGTGCTAATGACGGCAGAGCGCGAGAGACACACACACACACACACAGAGGAGGAGAAAGTAGAGAGAGACAGAGAAAGAAAGCTAATGAGAAAGAGAGACGGAGAGACGGAAAATAGGGAGCCTGAGAAACAGAGAGAGGGAGAGAGAGGGAAGTGTCCCGCGGGCTCAGTGTGACCCGTGGAGTGGAACGCCGCGTGACGCAGGTGCAGAGTTCAGCACCCGCATGTCCGCGAGCGATTCTCGCTCAACAAAGACAGGAAGCTGCTGAGCATCAGTGGCTACAACAACGACAGGTTGGCTGGAACAATAAACAAACAAGCCAAAGAAAACAAAACAATAAACACGGAAGAAAAAAAAACAACAACACACCAGCTTTTCACTAGGCTAATTAACTCAGGCAGCTTCCGGTCAAGAAAATATTTAGCAAGGCTACCAATACAACTAAATGTAGGCTATAGGTCTGTCAGACAATATGTAGGTCTCCCTTAATAAGCTGCAGTGAAAACCTATTTTTGCTTACTTGTTTTAATAATCTTATATGGAAGAAATCCCACTTGTAGGTGAAAAAAACTAATGAATAAATGTTATTTTAAATTAATGCACTGATTCAGTTGGAAATTATAGATACTAGGGTGTAAAATAATTTCATTTTCCAACTCAAAATGGCCAAAACACAGTTAATCCTAAAATGTCATTAAAGCTCAGGAAAATGATAATCAACAACATTTTAATATTCAATTTAAAATAAAAAATACACTTAATAAACAGCAAAAATTATCTCCCGCACTTGGCCCCCAGTGGCAAAAGCAAGTGTGGTGTGACTGGATGTTAAACTGAACTGAAGAGCAGAAAGGTGACTTTTTGGACTGTTCACTTATTTGAGAACATGTTTTTCCTCTCTCCTGAAACTTCCAACCCAAACAAGTGGTTGCTCTGGGTTTTGTTTCCATTTCCAGCAAAGTTAGTTTTGTGTATTGAGCTCCAGGCCTCTTGAAAATGCTTCATTGTGAAGTCAAGGCTCCATCTGTACAGGCACTACCTGGTGTTCACAAATGAGTCTTTCAAGATCCTCATCAATTTTATTTATTTATTTATTTTTTCTGTTTTAAATGCCAAAACACTGCAGGTTTAAATGGCTTGGAATATGCAGAGAAATATTTTAGAAATTATTTTGACTCTTAATTACAAAGGAAATAATAGGAAATATCAGTTCTGTAAAATTATATATTTAGACCTATATAATTTGGTAGCACTAATTTGTGCAGTGTAGGTGACAGTAAACGTGAAGGGCGTTTGACATTTTATCTGGCTATGAATGCAATTTGCTTGAGGTATTTATTCAATACAAACATGATGTGTCTTATAACAAGGCTTTAACATTTACCACAACAACAAAGTATTTAGTTAGAGAGAATATGATATCCTACATAGTCATGTCAACCTGGTGGCACATTTTAACCAGCTCATAATGACAGATAACAATGTTTGGAGTTAATTTGTGCTTTACAGATTCAGCCTTTTTAAAGACCTGGCTGCACTTGTTGTCAAAACAGGACCATAAATGTTTACAAAACTTTAGCACTGAGCATTCTGATCATTTTGTGAGGTATTTTTTTCCCCTGAAGGCTATATAACAATATGAAAACTTACAAACTTGGAGCTTGTCAATGGCTACTGATTCAAGAAATCAATGCAAGCTATAGGAAGTTGCAAATCTCCGAGAACAAAAAACATATGTGCCAGTAACACTGGTCACCGCTTCATCTGCTCTCCTCACAAAATCCTTTTTAACAAATACAAGTTAATATGAACACAGTGTCAAACTGAGGACATTCATTAGAGAAGTTTAGGATGTGTTAGCCCCTGCAGGTCCCCTGACTTTAGCTCAGGAGCCATGATGGATTATTACAAGTGTGCCTTTTAAAGTAGTTCAAACTTTTAAATGTAATTTCCCACTTTTTTGTTCATAAGATTTGAGCAAAGTATTAATTCTGCACTTCAGTTTTTATAGGGCCAACGTGGCTATAGTGGATCACGCTTAATTACATCACTTCCTGTTCCTGTTCCAGGGAAACATCCACCAGCTGCAGAGTGTTCATTCAGGAGCTGGATATGATATGAATGAGTCGTGTTTGATGAATTGGTGATAATGGGAAGCAAATTGTATTTTTATGAAAATGTCACAGGTTGTTACTTTAATGAGAGGGCCAGTGGAGGGTAATGCAGTTATGAACATGGACTGAGCTTATGAAGACATTGGTAATATTTGATACATAAAGTATGAGAGCGGCGCTGACAGTCTTTTCTACACGTAGTTCTGTCTGCATCTCTGTCAGTCTGTCTGCCGTTTTGCCAGGAAGTGAGAGAGCAGGCCCCCATCAGCAAAGCCCCTAAGCGTTCTGTCACGCAATGGGCTGTAAAAATGCTTATCCAACACACACACACACTCATACACACACACACTCTCTCACACACACACAGGTTATCCAGCATGCAGACAGCCGAGTGCCGGTCGGGAGTAATTCCTGCTCGGGGCACTGTGCTCCAGGCAAGGCAGGCGCGTGCTGGATATTTCATTATTCATTAATTTACTGTTTAACAAATCCTGTCATTACTGAGCCTGAGCTGAGTTCACACACACACATGCACACACATACGCACACACAAAACACACACTCGCAGCAGTGGGTGTCAGGCGTGGCAAATCGGCCTGTTTGATCCCGGCCTTCTCAACAAACGGGGAGAGAGCCATGAATAATAAGAAACGCAAAGCCTCGCCGGAACGAGGGAGCGTGACACTGTCTCACAAAAAGCCCTTTAGCATGGAGCAAAGCTCCGCCGGGGCCTCACCGAGGGCCCAGGGTTCATTATATGAAAAGACAAAACAAACAGTTGGCACAACCGTGATCAATATGAAAGGCAAAGCTCCCACACACACAAAAGGCGAAAGTGAATCAGTCATGTTTGACAAAAGACGGCATACTGTTTCCTTTCTGCTCATGGAGGAGTCTAGCATGATTGCTGTTTACTATTTTCACTCCTGAGTCCACTAATGGGATAAGGATTAAAGCTGTGAATATGGTTTTGGCTCATCCATCCCTGTTTTTGGCTCAAATCCCTACAAAAACAAAGGGGTAACTACTCCCTGTTTCTCGTGAAACAGTTGAATATATACAGAACGATGAACTCAGACACTATAATGACTTCTACTTTCCCTTTTCAGTCTAGTTCACTTAATTAATTAACAGAGGAAGCCTCCAGGCTACAAATATTCATTATTTCACAGGAAGAAAAACATGTATCATAAATATTATAATGATATATTTGTGTTGTACAAATACATTTTATTCTAAATCTCTCTGTGACCAAACCCCACCACGTCAGACCACATGGTTTGTGGCTGGAGAAGGTGGAGGAAGGTGACCAGAGACTTGACGACAGACCTGCAGTGATGCAAAGGGTTAAAGCCTTCAAGTCCTGGCACTGAATGCCACAGCGAAAGGATAAGGCCGGCGTTCCAAGGAGAAACGACTTTATTTCTCGATCTGCTGCCCTCAAGTATGTCGCGGTCTGTGGGTGGCCACAGACTTGATGTCATTAACATGTGACATATGTAGAGCTGACTGGGAGTGGCTGGAGGCCAGTGTTTGTCTCCGCCGCTGTTCTTGTGTCTACAGGGCCAGGCAG